AAAAAGCACAATTGTACAGGGAGTTTCTCCACGCTGTAGGAACGTATCTGGATATCTAATTTGAAGACGTGTAGATCTCTCTTCTTTCTCTTCTCTCCCCACTCCTGCAGCGTATAGGAGACTATCCAGCAGACACATGTTGATGGGTGGCTACTACAGTCTGAAGATTGCATAAGGGTATAGTGTAGCTCTGCAGACTGAGAGCATTCAACTGCAGACAATCCTTTCGTGCCTTTTTTCCTGGGTTACCCGTGCAGACGCCATAGCACGGCAAGCATGGAGCCCACTCAGCTCACCACTGCTGTTGCGAGCATTGTAAACACCTCACGCATTATACTGTAGTATGTGCAGAACCCGGCTAAGAGATGGCAGCATGAGGATGATTGTGAGGAGGACATGGACACAGACATTCCTGAAAGCACAGGCTGTGGCAATTGGGACATCATGGCGGCAGTAGGGCTGGTTGATACAGTGGAATGCCGATTCTGGGCCCAGCAAACAAGCAGAGACTGGTGGGACCGCATAGTGTTGCTGGTATGGGATGATTCTCAGTGGCTGCGAAACTCTTGCATGCATAAGGGCACTTTCCTGAAACTCGGAGTTGCTTTCCCCCGCCCTGAAGCGTAGGAATACCAAGATGAGAGCTGCCCTGACAGTTGAGAAGCGAGTAGCGATTGCCATGCCTGACTGCTACCAGTCAGTCGGGAATCAATTTGGAGTGGGCAAATCTACTGTGGGGACTACTGAGATTCAAGTAGCCAATGCAATCACTGACATTCTGCTATCAAGGGTAGTGACTCTGGGAAATATGCAGGTCATAGTGGATGGCTTTGCTGCAGTGGGTTTTCCTAACTGTGGTGGGGCAACAGGGATATGCGTTCCATCTATCTTGGCACCGGGCCACCTTGCCAACCAGTACATAAACCACAAGGGATACTTCTCAATGGTGCTGCAAGCACTGGGGGATCACAAGGGATGTTTCACCGACATCAACGTGGGATGGCTGGGAAAGGTGCATGACACTCGCATCTTTAGGAACCTCCGGGCTGTTTGAGCAGCTGCAAGAAGGGACTTGCTTCCCAGACCAGAAAATTACTGTTGGGGGATGTTGAAATGCCAATAGTTATCCTTGGAGACCCAGCCTACCCCTTGCTCCCAGGGCTCATGAAGCCATACATAGGCAGCCTGGACAGTAGTAAGGAGCAGCTCAACTATAGGCTGAGCAAGTGCAGAATGGTGGTAGAATGTGCTTTTGGACGTTTAAAAGCTCGCTGGCGCTGTTTGCTGATTAGGTTAGACCTCAGCGCAACCAATATTCCCATTGTTGTTACTGCTTGCTGTGTGCTCCATAATATCTGTGAGAGTAAGGGGGAGATGTTTATGGCGGGATGGGAGGTTGAGGCAAATCGCCTGGCTGCCAATTTTGAACAGCCAGACACAAGGGCAATTTAGAAGAGCACAGGTAGGCACGCTGCACATCGGAGAAGCTTTGAAAACCAGTTTCATGACTGGCCAGGCTTGTGTGTGTGTCCTTGATGCAAACCCACCCCCTCTGTTGGTTTTTTTTTATTATTATTTTTTTTTTTTAAATTCCCTGTAAGCCAACCACCCTCCCCCCTTTGATCACAGCTGGCAAAGGAAATAGTCACTATTGTTTTGATACCATGCATTCTTTTTCTTTCTTTTTTTTTTTTTTTTTTTAAAAAGGGAGATAACTGACAAGGTAGCCCAGGTTGGATAGGGGGAGGAGGGAAGGACAAGGCCACATTTTTGATTTGTAGTGTGGCAACAATAAGCACTGTTTGAATGACACATTTGCACCTGTGAGGGGATAAAAAGGGAGAGTAAAATTTAAGATGATACATTTCTGAGAATAAAAGGGAGACTCTCTTTCACAGTGAATCAAGCAATTCACAGCAGACAGCACATGTGCTTTAGGTACAAGGTCGCATTTTGCCTTTTTATATTGAGTGCCTGCCGGTATGGTGACACATCACACACAGCTGGGCAACAGAATTCTGTTTCCAGGCAGCCATGGTAAGCCAAAGGGTACGCAGGTTTGGCTTCTAACGCCTTCATAACGTGGGAATGTTTTCAAACTGCAGCACCCTCCTTTCCCAACGCAAGCAATGCCGATTTGGGTTTGCCATTTAAAAGGAGGGGCTGCAGTTTCCTGGTGGATGTGCAGCACACACCTTCTCTTCGTGCCCCCCCCCCTCCCCGTGTGGCTATTTGGGATGATCTCTTCACCCCTCCCCCCCCGCCATGTGGCTATTCTCAGGGATGATCCCTTTTAAGCAAGCACAAACAGCCCAGCATGAACAGGGTCCTTCTACTGTTCCCTTACAAAAATTCCCCTATTTCAACTAGGTGACCATGAATGATATCACTCTGCTGAGGCTAACACAGAAAGATGTAGACCGAATGTTGCTTGAATGGGACCAAAACCCAGGACCATTCATTGCCATGCTTTGTGCTGCAATGATTCCAGACTACTTGCTGCTGGCTTGGCATGGTAAAGTGTCCTACTGTGGAGGATGAAATAAGGCAGCCCTCCCCAGAAACCTTCTGAAAAGGCTTTCAGAGTACTTCTTGGAGATGTCCCTGGAGGATTCCCGCTCCATCCCCAGATACGTTAACAGACGTTTCCAGTAGCTGTACTGGCCATGAATGCATCCCAAGTCTTCAAGGCAAATCAAACATTAAACACTATTGCTTTTAAACCTTGTACTGTAGTTACAAATGTGCACTCACCAGAGGTGCCTTCTCTGCCTTCAGGGTCAGGGATCCCACCTTGGGAGAGTATTGGCTCCAGGGTGATGAAAAGGTCCTGGCTGCTGGGGAGAACAGATTCACCGCTTGTCAACTGCACGTTCTCCTGCTCCTCTTCCTCATCCACAAAATCCTCCTCTGTGTTGCACGAGACTTCCCCCCCCCCCCCCCCCC